CACAGCGTGACGTGAAAAAGGCACATACCTTTGACGTGATGAACTCTGTATTCCTCGTCCACACGGAAACGCAAAACAGGAGTTTTTAAAAAATCTCAGTTTTCGGTGATTGGAAACGTTTACATGTGGACAAAACAGCTGCGTTTTCAAAAATACCCGTGTACGTGTGGACGCAACGTAAAAGAGTTAGCAGTTTATTTTCTTACTACCTGTAATTTATTGCAGTTTACTTGCATTTGCTTAATTGTTTACTAAATGTTTGAGGTGAAATAAACTGCAGCGGAGCAAAATATGGGCGTGTGTGGTTGGAGGATGTATTTGTGCGGGGGGCTAGCGAAAAACATTTGGGAGCCACTGACTTAGAGAGTTCCTGAGTTTGACAGCCTGAACACCTGCGGCAGCTTGTTTCTTCTCTTTCTCGTGGCGCAGCTCTGTGGTCTCTCCATCATCACCTCCGCACTCGTCAGCCTCATTAAACTGAACCACAACTCAAACTGTGTGGAAGTGGGAGAGGAACGGGCTCTGAGTGTTTGTGTTGTGACCGTATGCGTGGAGCTGCAGACAAACACAGCATTTTGATTGGCTGCTTTTCCCTAAAGTCCGCACAGGTGACTGAGAGGTGCACAGGTGTGAACTTCAGAGCCGAAGGGGAAACCTGCAGTCTGAGCTCGTGTGTTCACAGGTGTCCCAAGGCGCGATACTAAATGAATTGCATTCAGTCTGATTCAGAGTCTCATCCGTCACCTTATAAAAACGAATCTGTCAGTGTAGTGAAGGCATCGTGCCTCTATTTTGAAAGGCACGCCAACACCAGTCCAAACAGTGTGAATAACACGACAGATGTTAACGATGGATGATTTTAAATGATAAAATCATCCCATGAATCACCACAGCAGCCAAACACTTGTCATTTTGCACAAACAGCCGTCGCACAGTCGGGGTTATGCAGCCATCTTGGATTTTCTTTCATCAGCAGGTTGATTAGAAGAGCAGATGTTGGTGCCTGTGAAATGAAATGTTCTCTCTGCAAACTGCAGATTTAAGTTTCACATCTTAGACCCCGAGGTTACGTCCACCTTTTAACTACAGTCTGTGTGTCTGTGTGAGTCGCTGGTGCTGCTTCACAAACGTCACAACTTTGTGTCTTTGCTGATGTGAAGTGAGTGTTTGTGCTGCTTCTTCCAGGAGGAGGTGAAGCTCGGCGGAGCGCCCATGTCGCTGTCAGCTGACCTGAGCTGCCTGCAGGGCAGCAGAGGCGCCGAGCGCGAGGTGGCGCTGACCACGCTGGAGAAACAGCTGATCTGCCCCATCTGCCTGGAGATCTTCAACAAACCCGTCGTCATCCTGCCGTGCGAGCACAACCTGTGCAGGAAGTGTGCCAACGAGCTCTACCAGGTCTCACACACACACGCACACACACACACACACACACACACACACACACACACGTGGTGTGTGGACAGATTAAGTGGATTATCTGTGGCTAAACTGGGACATGTGGATGTTTAACTGGTTTGCTCACGGAGGCACCACGAAGTCAGCTGTCATGAACACATCACTGTTATTGTTCTGTGTGTGTGTGTGTGTGTGTGTGTGTGAGTGTGTATTAATATGCACAGACACACACAAGTAACCAAGTAAAGATGGCCATAGTGATGTCACACAGGTTGGTGAGCGCTCGAAGCTCCTCCCTCATACAGAGGTTACCTGTCCATCACTGTGTAGCCCCGCCCTAAATCCTCCTCTCTGACTCTAACAGGACCATCGTTTCTAAAATGAACTTCCTTTTTGTTCACTCACACCTGAAACCATGAACCAATCAGGAAAGACTGATGTGGATGATGTTTCTGCAGAGAGCCGTGTCAGCCTCTGGTCCTCAGCCTCTGGTCCTCGATCTGCTCAGCAGCAGCTGAATCAGCCTCCTCCACACTCCCTGCTGCTCTGTCGGAGCATCAGTGTGCGTCTCTAACGCAGCAGGTTAACATGCAGCACTGCATCATTAGACGAGTCCGCACTGATCAGCGTTTTCACTCTGACCAATCACAGCACAGTTTAATATCGTGTGAAGGAGAAACTGCAGCTCAATGAAGCTTTGCAACGATCCGCTCTGGAGCGTCGGGCTCAGCGTTCCCGGGAGCAGGAAGCAGTCTCTACCATCAAACAGCTCACTGACACTCTGACACGCCTTCATTCATCATGGAAGCTAATTCTGCAGATTTAACCATCACCAGCGTTCGGCGGCACCGAGCACCGACTCAGCTGTGAGCTGAAAGCACAGCGAGCTCGGCTGGGAAGGAATGAAACTACAGGCTGCTTAAATCCGGACGACTGCTCTGTCTGTGTTTCATTAGTAAAGCTGAACAGAATAGAAAGAAGTCGCGGTCCATCAGGGGAGTGCAGACCCTGTGATCACAGTAAAGCAGTGAGGAAGGACACAGGTGGGAACAGGTCAGCTGACAACAACAACAGGAAGTAAAACCACAATAAGACAGACCGCCAAAGTAAAACTGGAGGTGCCCAAACACAGCTACCACAGCTGCAGCAGATACACAAAGATCACGCAGTGAGGATCATGTCTGTCACTTTGATGTTGTGTTGTGTGTCTTCGATGCTCCAGTAACACATGTTGTGTGATGGGAGGCGCGGCCGCTGTTTGCAGCCCGGTTTGTGCGTCACCATGGCGTTTTGGTTTCTTGCTTCCTGTGTGCAGCCGTCTCTGTTCCACGCTCGGACCACCATGATGGTGAACAGCGGCCGTTTCCGCTGTCCGTCCTGCAGACAAGAAGTGGTGCTGGACCGCCACGGCGTCTACGGCCTTCAGCGAAACCTGCTGGTGGAGAACATCATCGACATCTACAAAGAGGAAGTCAACAGCACCAGGTTGAGACACAGCCAGGTGATGTCTGACGACAG